GATATGAAGGGAGTACAATCTGTTGGTTGTGAAAAAGTGTCAGAAACAAAATACCGCTTATGTTACGTCATAAAACCACAAATTAAATGATCCTTGCTTTGACAAAGGGACAATAAAAGTTTGTAGGGTGACAATCGGCCAATTCTATATGATCTAATTATAAAGGATTTATGTATGGTTCATGTCTGATAAGTTGTAATTCCCTAGCATAGCTTTGAGTCAATATTTCATTACAAAACGGTCTTTCAATTTTGTCACTTTGTTTAGAATATGTCATAATTGAATTGGTCGTAAATGACATACAAAACAAATGACTTGGATATAGCATTTGTGACATCATAATGATCATTAAAGAATTGACTGACTATGGAGTGTCCGAAGTGAATTTGATGTCTTGTGGGTGAGTATGATTCCGTTGAAAGTCAATCAGTGACAACAATTCAGCCGATGACTTAACTAAATATTATGTATTCTAGCATAAAAGATGTTTTTTTTACATATTTTCGCCAATCAAAGCTTTCAGAAGTAAAGGAGGTGCGTGTAAACTAAAATCTGAGGAGATGCTCGGAGCTGTCGAGAAACTTAACGAGTCAATATGATTAGTAAAATAGCTAATTGTGGAAGAATGCTGCATGAGCTTATGATAACACTTCTATAACAGTATAAGTTCGGTTCGTATCAATGTATGCAAGTTTATTGGGACAAGAATGGTACGTTTCGCAATAATTGTTTTTACTTTGTGCACGAATAAAGCCGAGTTTGAGATTTCCAAACTGTTCGAGAATTGTCAAAGCGTTACACATTAATGCAACTACCAAACTTGACTGAAACTTAACAAACACGAAGGCTCAAAGGTGAATAATAAGGTCAAACGCAAACACTCAAGTACAAAAACGACATGCAGTATATGCTATGACGAAAAAAGAACTGGAAAATTATTCAAGACCACGGGCTATTGAAATCTTGGTGGCTCAGTATGAAACTGGATTAATAATGTCATTTTTCGCGCATATGTAATAGAAAAATATTTAGTATTTCAATTATATTAAATATGACAGCTTATGACAATAAAACGTAATAAAACAAAGGCGAAAAAATCTGTTTAGTTTGATCCCAAATGAAATCTATTCAAACTTTTTCGCGCGATATCTCAGTTTAACGGTACCACGCTGAGCGTTATGGTCTCACGGTAACAGCTTTAGTTGTTTTTATACCTTTCGCTGCGCAGTCTGGTATCAAGAGATACAATAGGTTTTCGCAGTTCATGTTGGGATTGTTTTGAATACATATATCTCTCCCGTCTGGTAGAAATAATGTATTTTTTCGTGGATAGAATATTTTTCACGTCGAGTATCTCGCACAAAAACATCGATGTGGTTACAGATGTATCATAATTTGAAATTTACTTATGCTGTGTAAGTTATAAAATGTATATATATATATGTTAATATATTCAACTGACTAGTTTTGATACTATTGGCTTTGGCAACTATCTATAATAATATTATGTAACGATATCCGTAAATAGGACTGTTTAGTGTTTTTCGGATGCTTTCTGCTGCATCTTGTTGGAGTAACGATAATACTGAAAATGTCATTTTAATTTTTATGAAGCGCCATTAGTTTAAACTTTCTCTGCGTACGAAGTTTCGTTCAGTTGATATGTATGAAGATATTTTTTCTGAGAGGGTTGAAATACGTCCGGTTTTGGCGGATGATAAATGGGTAGATAGACGGGTATGTGTTTTGAATATAGATGTTTGTTTTCAAATACGTCAGTTTTGTACTTTTAAAGTGTATTTGTGTAAATAGACGATTAGATCTGATTTTAAATGATACAGATTTAAGCAATCTTCCATATTAAAATTCGTTCCTAACTATGATGATAACTATGCGCTACACTCAGCTACAGGCTATTAAAAATCATTTTGTAAATACGAGGAGGTTCAATTCTTTTTGAAGATTTTTGACACATAAAAATCCATCGCATATGAAACAGTTTGTCAATTTATTTTAGTACTACCCGTTTTGTATTTGTTTTGATTCTGTAATCATATAAAGTTTATTGAAACAAATTTGTTAAATCATAACTTTATATTGCATTATCGGAAAATGTGTGAATATACGTTCGCAGCATCGCCATTGATGAAAAATATCGGATATAAAACATCTAAAATTTTAGTTTTTAAGATTTATTTTTGACTATAATATTTAACAACATATGTTTGTGTGTATACCATACATTTACACGTTATTGTGGGCGAGCCGTAATTATTTTTTACCTGAAATTCTAAATGCTTCACTGCACGGTCAACTATATGACGTTTGTTCATAATTTTGTGGGCTACATTTATAAGGACAAAAAATTAGTCATTATTTTAAATATATTTTTAAATATTTTTCAAACTTGGCAGGCAGAATAACAATTTAATAGAGAGTTATGAATATGCTTACGTAAAAATATCATTCTTGTGACAGAATTTTCCCAATTATTGGCAAAAATACATTATTTTATGTAAACACGAACAACCACGTGAAGACCATTTCCTTCAATACGTAGGCCGACTTTGATACTGTTTACTTAATTGTTTAATTTGGTAATTAATCCCCAAAAGAGCGTAAAATATTGGCCTCCGCTTACGCAAAAGCAGTATTTTTAGGCTTAACATAATACGCTTGAACTATGCCTTAATTTGCCTAGTTATTTCATAATTATACATGAAGATGCGTAACTAGGTAAATTAAATAATTCAATCAACTTCGGAATATGCCAGTTTGGGCAATAATAGCTAGAAAATCTATCATAAAATTAGTTATAATTATCAATTTTATTTGAGGTTAAGAATGACACAAATCAAATACGGTAAGTACTTCTTTATTTAAGCGGGAAACGGCTTTTAATTTGCGGTAAAAATGTTGAAGGTCATCCGACGTCTGCGTCATGCCGGTGTCCGCCATTTTGTAAAAAGAAACATCGAAATTTTCACTTCATCTCGGATTCTAGGAAATATATTGAAAAACAAAAGAAATAGATTCATCCGATTAGTTCAAGAATCATATTTAGTAAATATTTTATTCAGACTGGTTGCTAAAATACGATCGAATTTGAATTGTTAATTTTGTAAGAGTAACACATGACAATAATTAATTTACAAAATACTTTCATTGTTAGGTAACAAGCGGGGCGAATTTTATTAGTATGAGCGAACAATCACATTTAACCAAATTATAGCGTGTCACTTTCCAATCTAAATGAGCATTAATTTTTCCATTGTTACATCATCAATGGCGTAATTGTCATCGCTAAATGATAAGAAGACGCGATTAGGGAAAGCATGTCATTGGTGACTTTCGTTTATACTCGATTTAAGCATGATCCGAAAATTCATTGTTTCTTTAATACACATTTCATCTAGCTTTTAAACCATGATTGAGGATAATATAACATAAGGAAGATTTTCACAAAATATCATGGATTAGTTGAATAGGGTTAAATCCGTTTTATACCCGTATCGTTTTATTGTCCGTGTGGGATTAAATTTAATACGTTTTCCGCATAGAATTGAATAAATATTGATGTTACTGCCATATATTGATGGTTCAAGAAGATATTCGGTCGGGGTTTAACCTTAATTTCAACAGCTTTTATTTTTTAAAGGTCAAATATGCGGAAGCGGAAATAAATCTTACAATAAGATAAAAACTTATAGCTGGGATATTAATAAATATGTGAATATATTTAGGATTATAGAATATTCGAAGAAAGACTAATAAAAAGGTTTTAAAGCAAATAATACCAGCGAAAACCACAAATTTTGAAATTTACATCACAAAATTAGTTTATGTTCAAGTTTTCGTATTTCCATTGCTTCTAAACGAACACTTTGTCGTAATTAGCACATATAGTCGCCGCCATTGTTACCACAAAGCTGAAAGTGACAAGAATATAATTATAGGTATCACGTATGTTAACTATGTTTGATTAGCATAATCCCCACTTTAAATCTTACAATATTTCCTAGTTATCAAACGCCGATTGGAAAGATCTGCATTTAAAAATTGAGTAACGTCGTTAATAAATTGAGTAAAATTGAACGAAAATTTGGAAATATTTTAATAAAATGCGATATAGATTTGAAATTTTAAAATAAAACTCATCTTTATATCATTTCATCTTTATATCATATTTCAAAGTATTCCAGAGGTAGAACTTTGTTATAGCAAATTTGACTTGTGTAGTGTGAATAGGACGTGATAGCAAACCCCCGTTGCGGTGCCCGCGGCGCGTTGTCGGCTCACGGTGGCAAAACTACATTCCCATTAGTTGGAAATTATCCCATTTCATAGAATTAACCATCGCTCGTGCGAAGGATAATAGACAATGAAAAAAAGAAAGGATCTGCGAGAGAGCGATGGATCTCTATCGTCCGAGATAATAAATATAATATAGCGACAACAATCGAAATGACAGTCATATTAGTTAATGATAGCCTAGCGATCGGACGATGATATTACTAGTCAATTGCTAATTGAAATTTCCGAAATGTTTCAATAAGGGCTATATGGCAGCATGTTTATTTTAACTTTTCAGTGTCATTTTAGTTGAGAATTATTAATAATATTTTTTGTGTTAGTTTGCTCAAAACAGTATCGCAAATACTCAGAAAAAAAGTAGATTGAATACCGATAGAAGTTTCCAGCGAACATAGAAGTGCTAACAGATAGATGTAGATTCCTTCATGTAGATGCCGGTAGACACCGTTTGACATGAAAATGGAAGCACAGGACGTATAAATATTCTAGTTTTTTGGTATTTTATTCAAATGTATTGAAATTTTATTCAAATGTATTAAAAAAGTTATTCGAAACAGAAACAGAAAAATAATCTCAAAATCCGTCTTTCGAGGTTTGCAAAAAGCATAGAAATTTTTTGAATAGCAAGGATTCATTGTATTTCCCTATTTATTTTTATTCGTGTTTATCATAATATAATATATTTTATTTTTCATTATTTCAGCAGATATTCGTATATTATAATATTCAACTATTCACGACAAATAAAGAAAAAATATATCACAATGCCACGACCAGTTCGAGAAACGTATGGCGATCAGAAACCTCCTTATTCGTACATAGCTTTGACAGCAATGGCGATTCAATCTTCTCCTGATAAAATGATGAGCCTATCTGAGATATATAAATACATTATGGAAAGATTCCCGTTTTATCGAAAGAACACTCAGCGATGGCAGAATTCGCTTCGACACAATTTATCTTTCAATGATTGTTTTATGAAAGTACCACGGCGATCGGACAGACCAGGAAAAGGAAGTCTGTGGACCCTGCACCCTACTTGTGGACACATGTTTGAAAACGGCAGTTTTTTGAGACGTAGAAAACGATTCAAAGCTTTGTCCTCTGAAAGTGACGAACCATCTCTAAACAACACCGAAGAGTCGCCGTTTGTACAACGCCATCGTCCGCAACCTTATCCAATGACAAAAAGCATGGATTTACCTAAAATGGTACCCATGGATTCGCCAAAGTTCCAGCCGCGACCAAATCCGGCTCCATCCCATATTGCCGCTTTGATGCAACACCATTATATGCAAGCTAATACTCTTATGACCCCACCTGGACTTAAAAGCGGTGTTCCCATTTTACCGCATGGAATTGGAATGCCAAGTCCACATGCCTTTGCTGCCGCTGCCTATTTTCGTAAAGCTATTGCAGAATACCAAGCCGCCATTGCATCATCGGTTATTGCCCAACAAAGTCAAATACTATCACCATCTTCAAGATCTCCAACAATGCCGATGGCTCAAGCCTCGCCTTCGTTGATGGCATTTCCTCACCTGAACGCTCTCAGCTCATTGGCCCAGGCATCTAGACTCGGGTTAGTCTCAAATCAGCAGAAAAGGCATTCAAGCGAAGTATCTGAGGAAAATGAAATTTCACCTCCAAAACCAAAAAGCAGCAAAGTCTCTTTTTCGATCGATAATATTATGAGAGGAACGTTTTCAAAAGACACTGAATCAGACAAAGAGAAGACAGAAAAATCATTTGATGAATCGAACTCAAATTCAACAGCGATTTTTAGGCCGAAAGAACAACATTCTCCAAATGTGCCAAGATCCAGTTACGATACAGAACACAGACATTCACCAGAACCGCTAACAAAGACACCAACTGAGTTTGTGGAGTCTAACAAAACACGTCATTTTAATACGTCATCACCAACGTCACAATTACGAGTAAAACACGAACGACCGGACGATTCATCATTCGAAGACATCAATTCAAATTCCCCGACTACCTCGAACACGGAAGAAAGCGAAGAACAAGTAAACGCGCTGAGAAATTTGTACCGTTACGCAGCCCGTGCATGTGGGAAACTACAGAATACCGGATTTCAGTTCCCAACCCCTCTAAATTTTTCATCGCCTATTTCAAAAGTTCAGGAACCTTCCGAATCCAGTACATCGACGCGTTCGCCTACATCACAGAGTATAACATCATGCAGCGACCAATATTCACCAATATCAAACCGATATTCTCCAGGCGAAAGTAGTCCCGATGAAAATGAACCAAAGAGCCGGAAAGAAGAGGCCTTTATTCCGAGAAAAACAATCTCGATGCCCGAAAGCTCAATTTTCCAATCGACTAGTTCACCCGTTTCATCAATGATGTATGCTTAGTAGAAAAATAACGATAATACTCAGCAACTGCGTATTCGTAATCTATTTACATAAAATTTAAAGCACGTCTAAATATTTGTGAATTACGTGCTGATTTTTTCATATTATTGCTTTATTTATTAAAATACTTCTCGCAATATTTGGAGCAAGATGATTTTGTAACTACATTACAATAAATCTTTGTACAATGGAAATATTTCCAATATTTACTGAAAATCTTCTCACCATAGCTGTATTACAAATACTGTCATTTTCAAGTAAAACCATTTTTTTCGTTTAATTTCCTTTTAATAAAAATAAATAAGCAAATATATGTAGCTTCTAATGAAAAAAATTGATTAGAGATGAGATAATTGATGTAACTTAGGACCTATTTAAACAGAGGTTTAGAAAAATTGTAAATTAGCAAGTGATAGATGGTTCACGGCGGTATGTCTATATTCAAAATAAACAGAATTTAAACATAGCGATTGGTTGCTATTAGTCTTATTCGTGGTAAAACATGCACAGTTGGTATGAAGGATAAAGACCTACTACAATATTTGTCTCCCAACTGTGCAGTTTATATGGGCATGTTAGCCTGTTTAAATATATGTACTAGGGCGGAAAACTCAAAATTAGGTGTTGTAAATGTACTAAAAGGTAGAATACAATAGATCACAGAATCGAGATTTGTTTTTGAATTACAAACAATAACTGGCCTCTGTCAGAAACATTAAATCCATGAAATTATTCAATCGATTCGGTTTTGTTTAGTTTATTAGAAGCACTTTATTCCTTGATTTACGGCTGACTCGAAATCATAGAAAAATGTTCCAATATTAAATACAAAAGCGTTGATTCGTAATAAAAAGCCTCATGTTTATTATCATTTTTCTAACTAACAACAGAGATTATAAAGAAATGTACATTATTACGTCAGTATTATAATAACCTTTCGGTATAATGTTTAAGGACACACCTGTCAGGGTGACCAATAAGATCATCAGGAAATAAATATAATCTTTATATACAAAACAACTTAATGTATCGGAATTAAAGTTTATGTCTGTATATATACCATATATTACTATTTGATCTGTAACAAAACAAAAAAATATCAGAAGTTTTACTGTGAATATTTACGATAATATGATATGAAATCTTGGTAAAGACATGTGTATCGCCCAAAATACAGTTTTTCTTGCTGAAGTTACAGATTGAATACATTTAAAGTTATGAAAATAAATTTCTGACTACAGCTTTTATTTCAATAACGACATCTAGATAGATCAAAATAAAAAAGTCAACACAAAACAATACTGGTCATAAAGGGTTTTGGAAAAACACAAATTCAAATTTCTAAGGCTCATTCATCGCACCAAGTTCTTGCCCGGAATTTTGAAAATTACTATCAATAATTGAGAAATTCGCTATATATATCTAGCGGACGAACCCAAGCTCCAATATGATTACGAAAGGAAAAGAAATTGTTTGTTCTGTGTATTTTTTTTTTAAATATCTTATAATAAAAATGGGAAAAGTATGTCAGACTATTCGTTGCCATACAAGGCAGCAAACATTTGGACGAATCCGATTGAACGCTTCCCAATTCCTAATCATGAAATTCAAGACATGGAGTTCGCTACCTGCTATGGTGTATTGTGAATTCAATGTATCAAAACCCACGAATGTATTGTTTTTGTTTACAAAACACGATCTAAGGTATGAAGTTTCGCAAACATCAGGTAGTTATAATTTGGGGTTCGTCGCGCATGACTGATTAACAAAGCTGGAGTTCAAGGGTCATAATAAAAGGAAATAATGATAAAAGTGATGCGACAAAGATCATGCAAAATAAAACTAAAGTATAGAAAATTGTAGCACTATTGTAACTTGTATGCTACTGACTGAAGTTGCCCAGACTCTTGCTAAAAATTACATCAAATTGTTTTGTTGCACCATAATTAATTATGGATATTTTTAAATATTAAGCATATTTCAATATTGCATCTGTACAACATTTTGTTATGTTAATACCGGTTTGTGCAAATCGAGGTCTCGAGTGCTGAACTCAAACTGAACTAGCACTGATAGAAGAATTACAATCAAGCAGTGTACACTAAATTTATCTTTGCAAAAAAAATATTAGGAGATGGTGGTTGACACGAAACTTGAAAATTCTAAGGTAATACTACCAGAGAAAACAGCAAGGGAAGGAATTTCACGTTTAGTAATTAATAATTATTTACAATATTAACTGGATAATTTATTTCAAGTACAATAAATAATGATTCATGTATAATAGCAATATAATTTGTGTCAAAACGTAAGTTAATGTTTTTTGATTTGAATTCATTTTTTATATTTACCGAGACTTTATAATATATGGCAGACTATACACATATACTTTCAACAACAACATCTTCGTGATATCCGCTTTCATATACTGTCTGTTTACGCTACTTTGACTGTCAGAGACAATTTGGATTCGTGCGAGAGTGACATAGGTTGTTGACCTCAGTGGGAAACATAAACTGATACCGATGTGTACAGAGGATGTTTTATTCACCCAACCTGATGCCCTTTGCTCCTTTATAATATACGAATCAACTTCATCATCAAAAAATAATTTATGTTAAAAAAAAGCGCGAGCATGAATACATATTGATGATACTAGTTGAGAATCTTTTTGCAATCACATATTGAGCAAAATAGTGTAGTGGTTAAATACTTTATCACCTTTTGATGGGTAAGTTCCATTATAATTAGAGATTATGAGATTTCTCTCAACATTTTAGTCAATCATCTATTGGCAAATTCAAGTCTTTATCTACTATATTACAAATAATTTGTTATGAATGCAATTATTTCACGGTTGATTCAAGACAGCTCAATTTTTAAACTTGACGGTATAATCCAATTCTTGTACCAAGGCTATCAACTATTTTCTCACCAAAATAAACATTGCTAATATTAAATAGGAACGATTTTATTAACCTGTAATAAAGTCAGTTTCCCTAAATGTTAGATTTTTTTTGAGTAGTGATAGAACAACATCGGAATAATAGAACATTAATAATAAACAAAAAAATTGTTTTTATTTATTATTTGTCAATTAAGATTTATTGTGTTGCAACTAGGGTTTTATCTTTTAATTAACCTTGAGGATATTGCTAAAATAGTCAATATACCATGATATGATGTATGAAATTAAAAATAAAAGTGCTATTATCATGTTGCAAATTCACGTTTTCGATTCTTTTTCTCCACAAAAGAATGTTATTGACATGAAAGCCCATAGATTGACCTTTTCATAACTAAGAGATCATATAGAACGGCAGCATCTTTGTGGTTTTCCGTTTTAAAAGGATCATCAAATATTTTGCTTCACTATTTGTAAAGTAGAGTTTTATTAAGAAAACATGTTGTCGGGAATAATCACATCCTTAAATAGTATCAATAAAAAAATGTTTTATCTAAAAAAAGCTAATAACTTTAGTTTATTTTTCTCTTTGATTTGTGGAGTTTATGCGGTTGCACAGCAGTGTTTATGCGGATATTCATACCTAATGGTTTACATCCGATATCCGCATTCTTGATATTTTAAAGTGTCGAAAACAACATCGAACGAGAGGAGAAAGTTGTTTCAATTTTTATTTTTTGCTCACATTCATTCACATTTTTTTCACATTCACAATTTTTATTCTATCTTTTTGTTCATAAATTCCATGATTTTTACAAAGAAAAAAGGAATTGATCAAGTTGAACAAAAATATTTTGTAGTTTGATTTCATAAACTAGTTTCAATGCCATAAAATGAAACAGTCATTAAGGCCTCTCGCCATCTCTATCAAGACTAACTGAAGATTCGTTGGTACTGAAAGTACGACGTAGTTCTGATATCATGTTGAAAAGAAAGCACACAGACAAATTGAAATTTAAAACTTGAGCATATGCCTTGCATATATCCATGAACAAATATATGACGATTAGGTTTCATTATAAAATACATATTATAAAAATAAATTGCTCGTCCTAAGAACAAGATTCCATGGTCAATCAACATTTTGGCGACCGTTTTTTATTTTATAAGACGTTTTCTATCTCCACTCAAAATAAAGCTCCGCTGATGCATGAGAAATTTTGTGGGGATCGGAATATCATTTAGGTTTTTAGTTATTGTGCTCAGTTATGTATTTAGCATAAAGGGGGCGAAGTGCCAAAATGTTGTTACATATTTGTTTTGTTAACAAAGGATAAGACAAAATAGATGATTTAGTTATAATCATAATTATTTTGATAGCATGGCATCTAATATATTGTAAGGCATTATGAGTTTTATTTTATTTTTTTGTTTATGAGAATTATGAGAAAATCTACGCAACATTCGTTCATTTCCATAATAATGTGCTCGACACTTAAACAAAAACATCAATATAAAGCAATATTTTTTAAAAAACGATCCCGTTCCGAAACGTGCGAACTGGCTCCCTGTAGAGTAATCGATCTGATCTTTGCCGCCATATTTAAATAAGAATTGGCATTATATGCGAAACTAATAGACCACACAGGGAGGGGTTAAACAATCATTGACTCAAATTTGAATGTGAATACACGTTTCTTCTGAGCAATAAGACCAAGCTGATAAATTTTATTAGAAGAGAAACGTTATGATAATCGTTTACTAGAATTAAATCATAACATTGTAATTTGTAAGTCATAGGGGTGTATCGAACCCGCAAATTTGGACAGGGTCAGGCGCTGGGCTTAATTCGTACTTAGGTTTGGGTAATGACAAAATCGGGTTGAAAATCCGGAAGTAAATACCACGGAATTACTTTTTAGGTATTTCCGTAGTATGTGTACCAGGTTAGGGTTAGGCCAGCATTTTATTTCGATTTTAGTTCTATTACGAGTTCGGGGACTGTCTGTGTTAGCCAAGTGAATATACCCCCTACTCAAAGGCTTCCGTTCTTTTTTCATAACTTGATGTGAAGTAGGCGAACAAAATTAGTTACCTCTATAATGGTACACACACTTCTGGAGGTAGCTCTCTTTTTATTGCATAAAAGTAATTTTCACGATTAGAAGTGATAATCATCTTCAAGCGTGGAATAAAATCATATTTTGTAAAAAAAATAAAATGTTGGGGCTAGGTGTACTCTTGGCCAAAGTTTAAAAAAAAACGAATAATTTAGAACAAAATTACTAGAATACACAGCAATTAACATGAAGTTTATGTGGAAAAATTTCAATGTAAAAAAATTATCTGCATATCTATCTATACAGACTTTAAAAAACGTTCCTCGTTTGGATTGGGTCCGAGGCGAATTATGTACGCTGCTTTCGATTTTTAGTCCTAGTCTTATAATAAGCACTTTTTGTAGAAAAGCTAAGTAAGTTACTATTATATACCAAATAATGCGACTGCTTTCTATCGATATGGAACTGTTTAAAGTCCATTAGACAATTTTATTTTGAAGGCAGATTCACAAGCGAATCCTGCGGAGATAATCGACTTAAGTTAATTTAACGTAAGTATTCATAACCTCACACGATTCAGCTATATGCTATCGTGTGTGGTATAAATAAATCTATTATTATTCTATATTGATTCTTTAATACAACCAAATATTTGAAGAAGAACAGAACAAAGCGACCTCAAATCAGCATGAGGTGGAAATAATGTTGGCTCTGATGTTTCGAGACTACAAATATGAAAAAAATACTGTATATCACAATAATAAATCGTTTCAATAACTCAATGTATATATATATGAAAAAATAGTTATAAATGTAACATTTAGGAAGTCTTGTAGACACTAAATTCGGCCGGAATTCGAAAATGCAAGGTTGAACAGAACCGAAAATATTGTTTAATTAATGCTTTGAATCAGACACAACGCATAAACAATCAGATTACATTTGGTTTTAATTACCATTTTTAAAAAAAAAAATGATTTACAATGATTCTTCATATCATTTTTTGCTCTCTCTCGAAAATTAGGGCCTGAAGCATAGCTAGAATATTAAAAAAAATCAAATTAGAATGGACCGTTTTTAGACAGCTTCAAGTTTGATGTCGGGTGTAAAAATTTTCCGAATCTGGTCCTCCTGGTCGCAAACGACCATTTTTTGCTACTCGTATTGTATCGTTGCAACAGAGAGGACAATAAATATTACTCATCAATGTTTTCATCGCGTTTTTTATGGACTTTTTAACATTCCAATACCGAATCCTTCTCAGTTGTGAATTACACCTTATACTTTGCTAACCTCTGTCACGCTTCTTTTGCAATCTGTTAACGTTACAACTATTATTTACACAAAACATTTTCAATTGCAAGATTGATGCCAAATTATGTACGTTTAGTAACCATATCTTCAATTCGATTCGGATCATTTAGAAAATCTACATCAAATTTTTCCCATGACAAAGTAAATTGTGCGTAACTGGATTTTTATTCTTCCAAAATGTCTGATTTTAATAAAACTTATTGTATGGTGCGCATACAAAAAGTCTCAAAATAAATTTAAATCGATTGTGTTTTATCCTTCATTAACCAGCCTCAACTTGTATAAGTCGAATCCTTCGACGCCCTCATAATATTTTCTCACGGCATTTGCAGTCAGGCATGACGACAAATTAATAATGAAATTTGATCTCATTGCCTTGAAAACGATCCACGTTTAGCTTTATAAAATTGATTTAGGAGTCTACTTACCTCGGTCAGTGCCCTTACCTGCCGCAACAAGCCAAGTTTGTTGTTTACTAAATACATTGTTATGTTTGAAGTATTCCAGTTAGCAAGCAGCAAGTTGTTTGTGTCATGTCATGCACGATTTAATTCCAAGTAGGGTCATAAGGTTATAGAATGCGGAAGCGCAGCTTCAGACGCATAGTATCATAATGTGAAATGATACTTGAAATATTAGACAAATTGTTTAATTTGCAATGTGATTAAGAACTCCGATACATTCGAATATGGCACATGATGTCGCGGGAGAGTCGGTGCAAATTTTTTTCTAATTTGACGTAATTTCCACCATCGATTGCAGAAGAACTTTAATAAATACCTAATAAATAAATAATTGAAAAATACTTGATGATTCCCAGATATGAATATTTTTATGTTTTATGATGAAAAAAAGCATTACGTGAGCACATGTTTTTTTATTATTCAGAAACATGATGTATATAAAGAAAATCTGCGAATTTTATAATTTCGATCAAGTTTCATTTTAATTTGATTAAATTTTGGAGGTCAATTTTTGTGCGAAGAAGATCAAATTTCACATCAAAATATTTGTATATAAATTTGATTTTGTAATCCCAAGTTTTTTAGTAAACATGTATCCAATTATCACATCAGTTTGAATATTTTCAGAATAATTTATTTTAGAATATAGCGACCAGGATTTAACATTTAGGAGCGGTTTCTCTTTTGTATCGAATTCCCTAACAATACGTTTTCTCATTTCAGAAAATATATACATATGTTCCACATTAATTCTAATACGTAAGTTTTTAAACGCAAAATATAACGCTAGGCATCAGCTGCGGTGCACGTTACCTATTTGCTGTGATCACCAAACGTCTAAAACAAAACCAAGAACGGCTCCTATATCACGTTCGCCTATATCACAGCATTTGAAGAACGGGTCCGCGACCCTTAAATCGCACAATGTATCAGTTCGTAGTTGGACTCATTCTGAAACGTATCTGACATAATCAGTTTTATCGCCCGCTACCCATGTTACGAAAAAAAAAATGGATTTCCAATGTTTCATAGAATCAGGATATAGGCCCCGACAATTTTGTCAGATACATCGTAGAAAGTGTATAGCTAGAATAATCCATTTGCAAAACTGCCAACATATGAATAGCTTCATCACAACGAAAAAATCTAAAAACTGTTTGTTATATATTATGATATCAAACTACAGTATTAAAGTAAAGTATCTGTTTGCTTAATTCATAGTTACCTATGGCTTGCAACCTTAGCAAATAATATGTCACATATTAAAGCGTGTTATGCAACAATAGCGGTCGATAATGAGATAATTAATCAGAAAAATGAAGAGTAGCTACGCAGCACGTATATGCTAACCGTTATACATTAACTGATGATATTGTACTCATGCGAATAGATATAATTTTCACCCATAGAAGAAGTAAACCCATCAAAGATAGTTTGAAGTGGGATTTCCCATCGAGAATGATAGTATATTTGGAAACAGAGCTAAGATGAGCGAATTTTTGATTAATATTTCTCCCAAATTCACGTTTTCAGTATTTCGTTTGGTGAATGATAGCATAACTATAGCATATAGTCACACACAAATATTGTAATGGAACGTCTTGTAAAATCTGAAAAGCACATGTCAGATTCATTTCAGTCTTTCAAAACATGAGATTGAGAGAATTTATGTGTGATTTCAAAATCGTAGTCGGTGATTGTTCATTTCCAGTGCATCGTCTCATTTTAGCCGGCTGTTCTCGCTATTTTGAAGTAATGTTTTTGCGCAATATGACTGGGAGCGATAAGGATTATGTGGAATTGAAGGAACTGGATAAGAGTGCAGTAAAAATATGTTTGGATTTTATATACACTGCTGAATCCATAATAAGAATGTCTGAAATTGAAGAAATTTTACGTGCATCATACGTTATGCAGTTGGAAGAATTCACAAAACTTTGCTTCGAATATTTGGAACATAATCTTTCACATGAGAGTTGTATTTTGACGGATAACCTTGGCAGAGATTATAAGAATCAAAACATAGTGACTCTGGCAATCCAACATATTAAAGAGAATTTCGAGTCGGTCATTCCAACCAAGATGTTCCCGCAAATCTCCATGGAAAGACTCTTATCTTATACATCAGCAGAAAATCAAGATTGTCGAGTAATTTGGAAGGCCATAACCACTTGGGTCAAAAGCAATTTAAGTGACAGAGAAGGACAACTTTCCACGTTGATGGAAAATATAAAAGTCGTTGAATTTCCTTTCGATTTCCTATTTGAAATTATATGGATGGAACCGCTTGTAAACGAGTCGTCAGGATGGGCAAAGCAATTAGCAATCGAAGGATTGTTTTCAGATTTAGATACCCTGAGAGATCACCTCACGTTGCAAAATTGCTTTGCATTGAAGCATTTGGCTGAACAGTATCAAGTCATTAACACAGATGGCGTACTTTGTGCAGTTAAAGATTTTTTTGCAAAACATCTCGACGAAATCATGAATAAAGAAGAATTCTCCAACTTAACCCAAGCGTTTCTTTCAGCAATTTTGCAATCTTCAGAATTGAATTGCTTTCCAGAAACAATAAAATGGGAAGCTACAATCCGGTGGGTGAAATCTGAAGTGAATCGAAAAGCAATTTTAGCTGAGCTCATGAATCTCATATCATTCAAGAAAATACCGCTTGCGTATATTAGGCAAAACATTCGCCAGGAGCCTCTAGTTAAAGAATCCATCACATGTAGAGAAATAGTAATTGACGCTATGGATTTGCATATGGATGAAGGACAAGTACAACCTATTCAAATGCGAAATATTTGCGTTGCTTGTTTGGATCAAAAAACTGGTATTATCAGATCGTATGATATTAATGAAAATACCGTCAAAATATTGGCTGAAGTGGAAATGAGTGGAACAAAGAAAATAGTTTCAATCAATGCAGATCTCTACTTGTTGAATGGCGTAAACTTATATAGACTTCAGCAGAACAAGACATGGGAAAAAAAGGCTTCAATGCAATTTAAGCGGGATTGGTTAACAAAGTTTGTCCCCCTCTATGAGGTGAATCTTTGTGTCCAACTAACAAGCATCAGGAAACGAATATATGTCATTAAACAAACCACCATGTCCCGCTACGATCCAGAATCTAATAGTTGGAAAGAAAATTTGCCTGGATGTAATTTGGGTGAAGGATTTTGTGTTACAAGTTCAGAGCAATGTATATATGCAATTGGTGGCAGAGATAACGAGGCAAAATCTGTAAGATATGACACAGTTATTGGTAACTGGTCGGATATTGCTCCAATGCAACAAGGCCGATGCTGGGCGTCGGCTTCGGTGGTTGGAGATGATGTTTTCGTAGTCGGAGGGAAAAGTGCTTTCTATTTTGGTGAAGCATTATCTACAGCGGAACGTTACAACCCTGCCACGAACTTATGGACAACTGTGGCTGCTATGACATTCAGTCGGCACCGTTTTGGCTCTTGTGTTGTCAACAATAAGCTGTATGTAATTGGTGGGGCGAGAGACCAAAATCTTGAACTCGATTCAATCGAAGAGTATAATCCAAAAATAACGGTTGGAAGAAAGTACTAGAAATTGAAAAATCTGTAGGAGATATTTACGCCTGTCTTTATTATCCTGACAACTAATTCAACTTTGTAATTTGTCTTGTTCTGATAGCCCGATATTGTACAAAACGCCATTTCAGTTTCAACTCCGTAACAATAGCACGCGTTTGATAAATAAAGTAAAATAGTAAATATATATATTTCGTGTAAATAGAATCCTACTAGATACTGCATGTGAATGACTATAATATATATCGCTAGCCATAACCCTGTGCTTTACTGTTTTTAAAATCAAGCCTGATGATATAATTTTGTATTACATCAAAAAGACATTATATTCTGTGTTGGTATATTCATCGGATCATGAGACTAAGCAGGGAAATCTGAGTTTCATTCGTTTATTCTGGGACGTTGCTTTCAAGTGCAACGCAGAAACATGTGCTAAAGCCAAATTGATTCCACATAAGTTAAGACTTGTATTTTTCTGCTTACTAAACATGAATAGTGGCGATGGTTCTACCACGAGGACTAGGACAAGTGAGATATCGGCAAACTCAGTATTTCCCATCCAGTGAAAAATATATACCAGTAGCGGAATTGACATACAGTAGTTTACAAACGGGGCTATCCTCATAGTTGCGTGCTCAATTTGTGAGACATTCACTGCTGCAGAACACAGCAACACAGTTTGGGTGTAGTTACTTCTAAATAAATATATGCTCGGAATTGATTTTGTCAAGTTGGTATGATAATAACGTTTGCAACGATATAAATTGTCAAGAGCTATACGTGGTGCATTGAAATCCCAATCTGTATCGTGTAAGCGATGACCGTCAAACAATGAAAATATAAAAGCCGTGCAGCCACTTCATTCCCCCCCCCCAAGACATGGCTTCATATTCACTACTAAGTTAGCCACAGAACCACTGCCCGGTCCGTTATACTTGTTTAATATGGAATTAGTCAGTTAGTCAATATATATATTCCAATTACAGAGCTGTCCGGTATTTAGAATAACCATCACGCGTTTAACAATCATTTCGCATGTCTTGGGAATAAGAAATGGCATCTAATCCTTATAATCATCCGCCGTGGTAGCAGGGCTGTGGACTCGGGAATTCAGTATATTTTCACAGGAATTGAAGTCGGAGTCTCTATTTTGAACTCTCCGGAATACGGTGCAGTGGTTAAATTCTGTATTCGTGGGTCATAATATTCTACGAAAACTCAAAAAATTAAATTAATTTAGCGTCGGTAAAATTATATTTAAATAGGCTTGCATACGCCCAAGTTTACTATCGAAATCTCCTTTCTCGTCGGGATTCAAAATAACCAGCCGGAGCCAAAATGTTTTTTCTAACTCGGGGACGAAGTCATGATTTTTCCCGTGACCCTTCGTGGTAGTCGAACCTGTACAATGCCTCTTCTTAGGTTCACCGAACACTGGTTAAATTATTCATGAGCTCACCGGCGTTGTTGCCATATTGATTTTAACACATATCAACAAAAGAATGGTGATTCGATTTCAGACATAACTGATACAGGCGTCTTGCTTTCCACACAAAAAATCATGCGCCGGTACAGTAGTACCAGTACAGGGCATGAATTGATGGTTTCAATGGCACGGGCGCGGCGGTTGGCGCGGTTCCATAACCGCTGGTCGGTTTTCTAATCCGTCTCCTTTCGATAACAAACGACTGTCTCACTAATCCTATACCCCACACGGACTGGTGGTAACCGGACAAGAGGCTGTGATTCGCCATGCGATTAAATCATCTTATCCTTAAAACATACACACAACTGCTTTCGTGAATGTACAAGTGCCTATTTCAGCCAGGATGAGGGTGCTCTCGAAGCATTCATACCAAGATGGCGCACAACATGAACATAGTATGTGTACCAGGTTAGGGTTGTGCATCATCTTGGTACGAATACTTCCGAAGCGCCAGGATGAGTTAGGTGACATGACATAGCTCTATCCAAAATATTCAGATAAAGTTTTTCTTAAATTTTATTTAGCCACCTTTAATGAAACAACAAAATGACAGGAATGTGTCCTGAGATTTAAGTTTAAACAAAGTTGGATTAATGTGTTGAATTTATCCTATTTCATAAAGTAAAATTTACCATACATAATGAATTGTTCCAAAAATGTTTATCTTAGGTTGGGTATATAAAGTTACGATACTACACTAAAAGGATATTGATATCCAAGGTAACCTGGGGAGCTGATCTGAAATTGCAATAGTTGCGAACAGGAGCATGAATGACCATTGATGTTTTTGGTTGTGACTAGTGACTACTACCATGATAATGGTTTCAAAATGAAGCATCAAACTTTCAATTTACACAAATTTAACTGAAAACTTTCAAATTGATATTAGAAATTAAATATTACAAAAAAACATTCTGAACCGAAAAAAGATTTTATGATTTGTTAAAGAGAAAGAAGAAAATTATGCATGTGAACGAATAACATTGTTTGGAAGTGGAGCTACTCCTCAGTTTCATCTAATATGGTATCATCATCATAAATTCCAATTTAACATTTCGATATCAGTTTTGTTATTATTATTGCCCAGGCTAGATTAAAATAGATATAGTTACATAGAGGACGAATAACAAACTCTTGTGAAAAATTAATAACAAAAAAAATTTATGCGGAACTTTTAAACAGTGTGAAAAGAAAAAATAAAGAACAACCAAGTATAGAAATTCTGTCAAAGATTGTTTGATTACCAAGCAACATTTTATAACATCAAAATGTTCAAAGAAAAGTGTAATAAACAAAAGACGCTGCAAAAATAGCATTCAGCATATAGGTTAGTAGGATCTGCGTTTCATGAACTTTCACGAAACATCGAGTGTTTGCCTTGGCAATTTCTATGGCATACGCTCAACTCAAATTTCTCTTTCCCTCAAGAATTTGTGAGACTCACTCACTGGAATTGGATGAGCATGGATGAAAATGAAAGTTTTTCGAATTTCTCTATGCAGCCCACCACAAAAATATAAAAATAATGACAATTGTTTCATATTCAAGCAGAGTGAATGGCTATATTTCTTTGTAGAAGATTACTTGAAATAATGCCACAATCACTCTTGCATTGAAGTCAAAATATGTAGAAAGAGATGGAAGAAACAAAATTTATCATTCAAAAACCTATAGCAAAATATCACCCTAAAATTGCAATGCGACACCAGTTTTTAGGAAGTGGTATGGATAGAACTAAGAATCTATTACAGAATATATCTAATATTGATGACTTGTCTGTTTATCGATTTAACAATAAAATAGTAATTCAGCTGAAAATTAAAAGAAAAGAAGATTCGAATCTTGAACCTTAAGGCAAGGTCCAATTGAAGTTTTATTTTACTCAATCATTTTGGATATGAGACATATTATTGTATTGCAATCCTCAGCTATACACTATAAATCATGAACAGGCTGAGAGCCATAATATTAGCAAAATAACGTATATTTTTGTACATAGATGCACAGCTTCATGTTTGAATGGCAGAATATAATTACAAAAAAATTAAAATTTTCATATATGTGATTGACCCACTTTCTTTGCGCTATCCAAATTTGTCGATAGCCACACAGCCATGCATGCAGAGTGATCTTGTCATATTGACCGTTTCTATAACTTCCTTGGTATCATAACTAATGACAAACATTTTATTCAAAGTGTTGCTTTCCTTCTGACCTCCAGTAATGACAAGGTTTCCATTGAAAGTTGCGAGTCCAGCAAACTCTAAACCAGGTTCTGGTAGATGCTGCCACTCCTCAAGAGTTTGGGTGTTTGGATCATAACGGAATATCTCACTCGCATTATTTGATATCATATAAATCTTGTCTTGATATAGCGTACAGCATAATCGTGCCAATGGTTGACCTAGTGGTAGAAGAGACCATTTATCGATAAGTGGATCGTAGCATTGGATACAGTTCAAGATAATTTTGCTTGAATTGCTTGGTTCGTCAGTCATGCTAACACCACCAATAACATAAAGCTTTTCTTTATATGATATAACGCCAGGAGAATAACAACGTTTGGGCAGCGGCTTTACTGACTCCCATTGGTTGAAAGCGGGTCGGTATCGTTCAACTTGATCAAGCACAATTGGTTTCTTACGACCTTTCTGTGACGCCATTAAACCTCCGGCAACATAAACAGCCCCATCTGCGGTTGCTGAACCATGCCGTTCTCTAGCACAAATCATGCTGGCCAATTCGCTCCACTGATTAATATTAGATGAATAAAGTGAAGCCGCATTAGCTGTTATTCCAGAATTACTATGCCCGCCTGTGACATATACATTGTTCTTCATTGCACATACGCTGTAACTGTGCATTGTACAATGTGCTGTAACAATGTCTGCCAAGGCGATCCATCCTTTCTTAGGATGATAGTATTCAGCATGATGTAGTCTTCTGTTGTTACATATACCCCCAACAATAAATAAAACTTCGGTAATTCGTGATGATTTTCTGGGTCTGGTATGCGGCTGTTGCATTTGTTTCCACTCATTACAACCAAGTGCGTGGTATTTACATGCTTCAGAAACTAAATCTTGGACCGCTGGCTTTCCTTTTAAAAACGAATGCTTTGCAATGGTGTCGAAAAGAAAATGCGGACTGACAAATAACAATCTCACACATTTCAGAATATCAACGGTGTGTTCATCCCTTGCTTCGCTGAATTGTAGCCATGAAATAGCTGCTTGAAAAACATGTTCTTCTCTTTGCACAGACAAAGCATCGTCCGATAAATACCACATCAATACACTTGGCGGAAGTCTTATAAACTCCTCTTGTTGAGAGACTTTTCGAAAATTGACAAGTGCGAATTTTTTCGCTCTCGCAGTCAATGAATCGAGAGAATGAAGTTCGCCAAACTGCATTAAACCGAGACAATTAGTTTCCGCGACTTGTCGTAAAAGGAAATTCTCACAACTTGATTTTAACTGATCCAGTTGAAAATAATCAGCGGCTTCGACAATATCTTGAACATTATCGCTTTTGATTTGTATTGACTGTGCGTAAACATGTTTAACAATCATTTCCACAATTTCAAACTTATGGCCTTGAATGGTGACTTTTTCTGCTCTGCCTTCTTTCATATTAGAACTAAGTAAGGCGTGGAAATATTGACTGCAAGCTGCCAATACGACACGATGACAAGCTATTTCCTTATCTTCCACAACTAATTTTACATCGGTAAATTCTTCATTACCTCTCAATCTTTGGAGGTTTCTCGCAAGAGGTAAGACAAAGCGACTTGTACTTAATGCATCAAAATTACTGTTAATTGTGAATCCAGTTTCAACACATGAATCACTTGAACTGCTTAGAGGTCGTTTGTTTCCACGGGCAACAGAATTTTCAGAATTTCTAGGGCCTCTGCTTGTACTTGGTATATCACTATTGGCAGATGGGCTTGCTTCAACTATAATTCTGCGAGCACGATCAGCATTATCAGCAGAGTTATGTCCGTGCTGTCGAACATGAAAGCCTCCACGTCTGACAAATCCATCATCAAAATCAGAATAACTGCTGAAATCGGAATCATCCGCAAGGGAATCAGAAGAAAATCCAGCAGGAGAAGGGGGAAACGCAACACTATCAACCGGACCCCCATCTTGCTCATTTTCATTGAGTGGAGCACGAGAGTGATGACTACTTTGCTGAAATCTTTCCGCTCGGAGACGTGCCCTTGCCCCACGTCTATGCTGTAATCCCATCCTACGTACCGGTACCATGTACCTTCGTAGTCTAAAATCAACTTGGTTTTCTCTATTTCCAGCGAGCCCACCAACTTCGTTGTCGCTTAAACGTAACACATGATCTTCTAAAAAGTGATCTGGATGGTGTCTCTCCCTACTATTGCTCGGTCCAGCTTGATTATGATCATATCTTTGAGACATGGTTAAATATCCTTTCTCATTTGAGATAAACGAAATAGATTTAGGAAAATAGTAATCCGTGAAAGTAAACTATAATATTGTATTGTCCTGTATAAAGCATGTATAATAATGAAGGATTTGTAGGTTATCAAAAGAGATAAAACCAGCTTAGTGAAACATTACACAAATTAAGAAGCTTATTACATAACATGAGCATGGATAAAATATTATTTATGCTTTGATTGTTTCAAGGAGACTACAATCTGAACTGTTAGGCTTCGTTACTTACTTCATAAGAGAGGCAAAAAATTTAGAAAAGGATTCAGCTAAAAATGCAAAAAAGTACGATTGACCACTATTTTTTTGCATCTAACAATAAGAATATGACAGTTCTCAGTTTATGAGTAAGAATAGCCACCCAACCTCAATACTGTAATAATAACTCAAAATAACTGTGTGATGTGCATTGCATGTCCGCCACTAAAAAAAATTCTGAATTGATGAGGAATATTAAAACATCAAAATCATCCTTCCTGGGTCAACATTATTATCAAAATAAATGACACAGAATTTGATATTTCACACAGAATTTCCCCAGATAGTGGTTTCAAGTAATTTAGATTTATACCATTTGGCTCAATATCTCTATTATAATTCTGTCTTTATAAATGACACACTAATCAAAAAAAAAAAATACATTCAAATAAATGATGATTATTCTGACAACCAGCTTTACATGAGGTATATCTGTATATAGGACATTGAGATTAAATAGAATTAAAGTGTACCCTATTATGGAAAGTTATTGTCCTAACGCATTACTTTACTTTTTAAGCAGATTGATTGGATTCTAATTCTGTCTATTTTTCCATTTCTAATTTACCACAGGTATAAATAACGAAGACTCACAGACACAATAAAGACAATTTTTAATTTCTGTTCAGCAATCAATCGTAATTCATTGATTTGCTAATTCTACTATCGAGCATCAATTAGCAACTGACAACATATGCGTATTTGTTTCATACTACAGCACTACAATGAATGAATAATAAAATGTACAGTGATAAGTACAATAATATATGAATATTGATAATTCATTATTATTGCTTGTTGAGCAACATCTAATTTTTTCCTATATTTGTATATGTACGCACAATCAAACATAAATTCCATACAGGCGTTTATAGACTATATCTAGCTAAATTTTTCTTCTCTATACAGAATTGAAAAAGTCAGCCCAATTTTTTTCGAAGGATTTAAAAAAAAATAATAGCCCCTTGTATAGTTGTATGTCAAGGGCAGTCCGTAGAGCGCCTTGCTGTTGCTGGGAGTGGAACATCAAACAAAAGTTTATTGAAATGGGAGGAAAATAGCTGCGGATTTGGAAGTACCACTAGAGGTAAAATAAACTTGACCTCAGCCAAAGAAATGAACAGAAGATTGATTGATTGATAAGACTGCAAGAGGATAGCATACCAAGTTAGGACAGAAGCTAACGAAATATTTTTCATTTTCATATGCAATATAATCCAATATATATAAATCATAAATAAAATATAATAATATTCGAATAACAGAGTAAGGAATGTCCAATATACAGATACCGTATAAAATATATGGGGTACAGGAACCGTACCGGTACCGTACTGCTGTACTGTACTGGGAGATTCATGTTTAACAGAAATTTGTATAAATGAAGATCATTTTATGATAAAATCAATTTAGTGATACTGAAAAATTCAGATAAACATTCCTCTGCTTGATTTTCCATCTATTTAAATTATGTTCATTATAACCTACCGTACCGGTACCGGTACGGTATCAGGTCATTTTGTCTTGAGATGTTACAGTGTTACCGTATCGTATCTATGTTACACCGTCGTCGGCATGATAAAACGATTGAACACAGTACTGGTACCCTGAAACACAGGCGGATAAATATTATAAGTTATGGCGCTTTCAATTATCAGGATTATGTGCGCCAGACTGAAGATTTTTTAGACAAAACAGGTCCGCACAGGGTTGCCAGACCCCAGCGATCAAAAAAAGCCAAATCAAGACATAAAAATGCCAGAAAAAGCCAACAATTTTACTAAGTACAAAAGCCCCATGATTTGTCAGATTTTAAGCCCTTGGCAACGTACTGATGATGATGTAGAGCCATCAGTTCATTCAGTGAGGCACACAAATAGAAAGTAAAGTTCCTATAGAACTGTAGAAAGTAAAATGAATATCAAGCGGGCAGCAATATTTTACCATAGGGTGCCGCTTCAGTCTGTAATATACCTACAATACAGCAATATGTTTCTACTTAAACTTGTGCTACACCTTAAAAAAAATTTCCCCGATATCGTACTTTACTATTGAAAATTTTTCACTTTTAAAATTTATAAACCATCAATTTTATTAAAAAATTATCTAACCTCTGTCACAGGTGGACCACTGATATCTAATTCAGTGATTTCAGCGTAGTTAATCACATCGTTACTGCAATTGCAGAATTAAACTAAAGCTGAAAGCTCACATAAACCATATCAGGCAATGAAAATTAGATTACACAACTATTTTTTGGAAACAGAACGTAAACTGACAAATAACACGCAAAACTATAAAAACGAGGCAATGTTTACAACCCTGCTTGAACATCTGTCTGAGCAGCTGCAGAAACTGCACTTATTTCTTATTGGGTATGGTTAAGAGTTAATGTAACAAACAAGGAAATCGATGCTCCAGGAAATCCTAATGTTAAGTAGCTAAGTACAGGTAATAGGCTATTGTTCAGTTGTTACACACTAAATATTGTATTTCATATGATTTTAATAATAGTCACTAGAATAGACTTGAAAAAAGCCAAAAAAACGCCAAAAAGCCAAACGGAAATTCTGACGCCAAACGCGTTTGAAAAAAGCCAAAAATGGCAAATTTGGCGTTAAAAAAGCCAATATGGCAACCCTGGGTCCGCATACAGTACTGACATAAGGCGAAAACAATTGCTATATTGACGCATCGTTACCTTGTCTAGTCTGTCAACACAACGTCTCTAGTGGTTCAGATTAATTATGATCCAGGGCAAAATCACCTGATTTCTTGCTGTCAGGACTGGACTAGCACTTCTCGATGCATATTTGTGAGCGATTACGAAGGAATGGGATAGGAAGTTTCAGCTTACTTTTTTCTATATGAATCACACACACGTGATTGATCTAAGAATAATATAATATTATATACTAAATTTTCACTTTTCCAACAGCGTGAAATTGATAAATTGAATTAATAAATTGTGTAAGTACACAACAAAGATGTTTCAAAGTTCAAGTGTATCAATCTATTACTGTTTTTAGAATATGAGTCAAGCTCTGTACTGACTTTTGCAAGTTTATATGCCGGGAATGCTGTGGAACCTCATGGAATGAAACAAAGCTTTATGTGCAAATTAAAAGGGTTAATGCTTGGTAGCGCGTCCACGTGCATACGTTTGTGGTCATTCCGGTTCTCTTTATCAGTAACATATATAAAAAAAAAAACTTTACCGTGTACCACAAATACCTCGGTAGCGATCTGAAGTTCTAAATCTAAACAAAACGATTCGTGGGTACTAATACAGCGAACAGTAGACCCCCATATCACTTCTTTTCTGTACATATATTAATGGACGCTGTAACGTAAGTCCTTTTTATTTGCCCAAAACGACGTGAGAGAGTTTTGCATGTACATTTCCATAGAGTTAGAAAAATTGCGAGTATTGTGGTGAACAGATAATAATAACTCTGGATTAGTCCTGTTCATTAGATGAGATGGGAATTCGGGCATGAAAAGGGCATAAATATGTGACATATTCAATAAAATAATTTTGAGTGGAAGAAAGGTACAGTCCTGTTGGTCGGGATATTTGGGTCAGATTACCGTGAAAGGGGGCACGGGCAACAGTTACAGTATAGTTCAGCTATGAAACGTTTTTTTTTTCAACTACTATTAACTAACTAGTTATAGTACTAGATACTAATCTGACTCCAAAATATAAAAGAATAATATAAGTTACGTGCTCGAACTGGAATAGCTGTTATTTAGATTGTATTATCTCCGACATCAATACAGTACAATTACTTATAAACAAACGTAGGTATCTAGCTTATTGTTATTGGCAGCAGTATGTTCCCCAGCTTTTTATTTTAGGGGGGGGGGGGTGTTTCGAAATTTAGTGGGGGTGGTAAATAATTTACTATTAGAGACTAGGTTATTTGTATTCTTAAAAAAATGGTATGTATTTAAGAAACGATGTAAATGAGGGGCTCCCCAAGTTGATTGACGGCGAGCCAAAATCCACAGCAGAATAAAATTGTAGGGCCAGAAAAGGGGAGCGAGGAAAAGTGCGGGACGACACGGCTGGGGTTCAGGGCGCGCTTAAGCGGCCTGAGAAAATTTTGAGAAATAGGCACCAAAATAGGCTCTAAGCTTGATTTTAGATACACCTAGCATCGCGGTTTGTTATGTAATAAAATCAATAATTATAATATTTAGCTGATAGAATTCCCGGGAAATAGATAACAAGCACGACTTTCAACCGTAAATATATATATACTACTACGTTTCAACAAGTAATTTGCAACTGATAGTGACTAATGAAGTTACTTGCTCATCTGGCATTGTATGAATGGCTACTTATGGCTTGTTTTGTTACACATTTCACATTTTTTTGAACATGTGTGTTTGACTTTTGTATGAATTAAATTTTGAAATACGCGCGTCAACTGATCATAATGGCGCATAATGTTGTATTCCTTCAGAACTGAAATATTTTGTTGGTAAGAAGACAAATCGCTGAAGTTTGATTCTTTTCAATAAAGAAATAAAAACGCTGTCATTCATCTAAAAATCGTCTGTTTTCAGTGCC